TTATGTTGACAAATTCTCGAATATTTACTGATCTGTTCTGAGTTTCTTTCCCCCCATATGACTTGATTAACCAATAATTTAGGACATATCAACTTAGGTGTTATTAGGTGAAAATCACACTCGACAATTAAAGGTAAGTTATATAGATTAAGAAACTCTAACCTATCACAATTGCATTCTATTCAAATCATTGAGCAATATTCTATAAGGACACTCAGTATTTATATGATAATACATGTATTTCTTATCCTCCATAGAATGTACCTCAGAAATAGTATATGTTATTCAACCAATGATATTGGAGTTGAAATCTCAGGCCATATTTGTTCAAATATCATTTAATTCATTAAAACATTATTAATTCATTAATTTATTTTCAATTTTTAACGTACTATAAAGTGCAATGAAATAGCTACTCTTCGTCTAAGAAAATTTTAATTAGAACTCTCAAACAATTCATTCCTATCCGAACGGGAATGTACAGTACATTCCCGTGCAATTTGAATAAAAAAAAACAGTAATACATAATTCATTAATTTATTTTCTATTTTCAACTTGCTATTCCAAAGACAAAGGAAAGTTTAACGTCAAATCTCAAGTTTCTTTAAATAGATAATTCAGGTCTGCACGTATTATTTTAATCATATTTCATACAATTAAAAAGCAAAGTATATATGTAGTTGTAATAATAAATATAACTTTTAATAACATACGGCTAATTAATTATGTTAAGGAAGTCAAGACTTTGCATACAATCCAATGGTAACTTTAGTATGTTTCTTGCATTTCAAACTAAGTATGATACAAAATAAACAGACGGAATATCGCATGTTAGATATGTGGAACATTTGCTAGCACTCGATGTTTCGTTTACTTGTTATTTATTGCAAAATGGAACTGCGTGCAACATGCCCGTGTTTATGGACCGTACGAGGTTAGATAACGAAATAAGATTGTATAGAATTATAGATAATAACAAATTAAAATAAAAAAAAATATCATTAAAGTGATGAAAATATTTAAAAATCAATAAGCGTTTGAAAACGAAATTAAATTGTTCGTTTGTAATTAGAATATTTCTAATAATTTATTCTGCGCAACCTAAAATAATATGTTTCGGTTTCATTTAAGTAGTGTTTAGTTGTTCAAGTGAGTGATCATTAGTGTGTTTAAGTTGATACATTAATAAAAACTATTATAAATAGTTTGGAAATAATTTTTCTATGACTGTCATGTACATTTAATTTTTTACAAGTTATTGAACTACAACAAGTTGTTCACATAAAATTCGCATTTACGAGTATTAAGAATATTTAGAATATCAGTCGAAACGTTTAAAGTTTAAAGAAAGGTTTAAAGTTTAATAGTCTTTAATCCTATATTAAAAGCCTAATGCAAAGCCAATATATTTTATTAGGAACGAAAAAAATGATTTTAAATGTACCCAATTACGGAAATTACTTTTTTATTTAGTCAATTGAAACAAAAACTAAGAGAACATATAATTAATTAATGAATTTTGTCTCAGAGGAGAGAGCATAAAAGATATAAATGGAAGTATAATAAACGATTAAATTTAGTGAAAACTTTTTCTATAGTTATTATTCAAGTGCTTATTATACACTTATCAAATAGTTGTGACCAGGGTTGGAACCTACTTTAATTAAATTTTTAATTTATTGAGCATTCGGTGTGCGGCTACAATAATTCTCGAGTCGCAAAATCTTTATCTAATTTAACTTGCAACTGCGCTATTATTTTTCGATCCTAGGCTGAAATACGACTAATTGCTGACTATATAGTAAATTTATCTTATTACATCCCTTTTGTTAATTTTGTACATATCAATTAAAGAAAAGAGGTCGCTATAGATTTTATATTTCCAACAATTTAGGAATAGATCTCATGAACAGATAAATAAGTCCGAAATTATTAAGTGTAACAAAATTCAATTAATAAAAATGAGATGTTTGATAAAAGCGTTTGAATTTTAAAAGTTTACAATACTCCTTTAACTTTATTGTCCTACTAGATACTATTACCAACTCGAACTCGAATAAGTGAACGTAGGTTACAATAAAAAATAAAGACGTGTTATCTGAATTGTTTTTTTTTATATACTCATATTGTTTATATGGTACTCTGCCCGTACTCGATGTACCAATTCTACTTAAATACGAAATAATTAAAATAAATGAAAGAATCGAATAAAGCAGTAATGGCTACTTTATGAAACAAATTTTCCTTCTTAATGACCAAAAAAACTTACTTAAAACAATATAATATTTAAAATATATCATAATCTTTTTTATAAAAAGGGGTTGTTTAAGCTTTTTTAATGTTTTGCTTTATAGTTAAAAATATCTGATTTACAGTCAATTTTATGGACAAATAGATTATATTATAGAACAAAACAATTTCTTTTATTAACACACAATAAATAGATTGGAGACAATCACAACGAGTCGAAGGAAATTTTTTGTAAATAGTATATGTAACATTAATTTTATATAATTGTTTAACCATATATGAATTTTATGGTATTCATTTGATCAACATATAAATATATGTAGCTTTAAAGATAAAATTTAGTATTAATATCTCTTGACAACTTATAACCATCGCTTTACTAAACCAAAGCTAAGGGTTCAGTGTGTCTGTGAGGTATTATAGCTTTATTAAATTAAACTAGCTTTCCGCCCGCAGCTTCGCCGCGTGGAGTTCGGTTATATCGCGTTTCCAAGAGAACCTTTCAAAAGTCTGGGATAAAAACTATCCTATGTTCTTTCTCAAGGTCAACTCTATCTCTGTACCGAATTTCATTAAAATCAGTTCAGTGGTTTAGGCGTGAAAGCGTAGCAGACAGACAGACAGACAGACAGACAGAGTTACTTTCGCATTTATAATATTAGTAGGGATTACTGAGAGATCCTATGCCTATACGACACGTGAAGTTATTTAAAAAGCAAACTAGTGTCAGCTGAGTTGCTCAATGAGCTTTGTAATGTCCCGAAACTATGTACAAACATTTACCAGTTCCTATATTAGGTTTCAAAAATTTAAAACTTGTCCGAGGATATGAAAAGTTTTATTTAAAATGATCTGTGTTGTATTTCACATTAAAAACATCTGTAGCCGTTGCTTTATACTGCGTTAAATACAGTCTCAAGATATGTTGGCTGAAGTTAGGAAAAGAGTTGTAATAGATTGTGGCGATTTAAACCGCTAATAAAAATAATGTTTGACTTATTGATTCTTTACTTTAAGTGGTACTATCCCCACAAAACAAGAGAACATTTGTGAAATATTTTATAAATAAAAGATAAATACATAATATGTTTTTTTTATAAATACTAAGAATACTACATTCATAAAAAGAAGAATAAAGAGCGTATATGTTTTATTTATTATTTACTGTCGCAATTTATTTAGTGATGTTTACGAAATTGATATTATATTATATTTTCGCTATTCTAATAGTACCATTTGTTTGCTTAATTTAATTATTCCGTTTAAATACTTAGACTTTTTGAAATAGCAATAATATTTGGGCTATATTGCAGTTAACTTCATTGGTGTCTTATAATTTAAAAGAGTTATATCATATTAATTGAACTGAAAAAAAATATATTTTGTAAATATATATTCAAAGTAGTTTAATTACGTTCAACAGAAATATACATTTTTTTTATATAGTCTACTACAAAAAATGTTAGACACATTCTTGTTAATAGAATTATATTTTTCGATATCAAATATCATTATCACCATGACAATATAGTTGTTAAGCAGTTTTTCTTACGACATTTCTCGGTCAAATCAAAATTATTTTGAAATAAACATGAATTTATTTATTTGTATTTCTTTATATCACGCATATGTATTTCAACGTTTTTATAAGATAATTTAAGTAACATTATTGCGACATAAAAAAAAAGTTCTAAACGGTTTTTTTATCAGATTTAAAAACCAGAATTTAACGTATAATTAAATGCCCAAAATTGACTGCAGGTTGTGAAAATTAAAAATTTGAAATGAGCTCAGAAATCTGATGCTTTGATTATTATTGAAAAATAGAATTGTAATTACCACGTAAACAACGTACTATACGTACGTACATCCGTAGCTTAAATGAAAGATCGATGAATAAATGTAAAGAAGATTGTAGTTTCTTTTTATTTATGGACTAGTATTGCCTCAATTCGTCATTCATCAAAGCTATTTGACCTAATATAAAACCAACATGAGATAAATAAATTAGGTCTATTTACTGGTATAGATGTTATTTGAAATTCAACAATATCGTTGCTCAATCTGTTTATATATGATGTGAAGTTAAGTTATATTTACTAAAGTCCAAACCTTGATAGTCAGACTTAGCTTTGTCGAAATTAGGTTCATTACTGGCACTGGTATATAGTGAATGTAACAAATTAAATTCACATATACATCAAACAGATTTATGAGTGTCTTTAGTTACACCAAATCTCTTGTTGACCCGCTCGAGTGCTATGGTACAAGTACCACTAACATTTAACATATGTTACATAATAGATATGTAATACGAAGAAATTAATAACACTAAAAATTAATAACACTAACATTCATTAAAAACATATTTATTTATTTACAAAATTAGAATGTTATTACAATTACAAAATTAGAATTAGAATTTATTTATTTACAAAATTAGAATTACAATTATTGTTATCATAATTTAATTTGCTTTCCCAGAAAAATATTGATATGTTTCTTGAATAATAATTAAAGTTCTAAATATAATTACCTGTTGAAACTATTTTCAACGTAAACATAAGACGATCAAAAATATTTATTCTTAGTTTTGAAACGATAGCTTCCATATTGAAATTCTATAATATTGAAAGTATCTTTAATGGGTTTTCAAAGCGTAAAATAGTAATTCTCAAATCTGTATGAATAACTTTTAATATTAATTTCTTGAAGTTAGGAAATGCTATAAATTTGTTAGGTGGTAGAGCCTAGCTGTGGTGAGTTACTACAGCTCGAACATGGGCTGGCTCGACCGGGGAAGTACCGAAGATCGGCGTGAAGTAGCCTTTACTGGCTGCGTTTCGTCTGATGAGTGAGAGAGCCGGTTGCCCTTTCCCTATTCCTACCTTTTCCTTACATTTCCTTATTCCCACCCCTCCCTACCCCAGACGAGACGAAACCTCTTAGCATTCAATGGATTCACCGTGCGGGTGCCGGGTCCATTGCGTTGCAGGGAGAGGAGCTTCAACAGTGCCTGGGACCTGCGACCCAGGTGTAGGTTTAAGGGGCCCCTTAACTAACGCGCGTTATACGCTCACCTCCACTGTCCAAGTTCCTCTCCCTACCTAACCAAATTTGAAAAGAACCTACTAGGGCTGCCTTCGACGTACGTTCTAAGAATGAATTAATGTTAGTTCTGGACAGGCCCAAGTCTTTTAGTAGGTTATAGAGAGATTTAGCTGTTATACCTCTCGCTCCCACCTCTACCGCGTACAAATCAACGACGAACCTATTTCGAGTTAGTTCGTTAGTGAGCTCGTAATACTTATTGACCTTGATGGCATGGTCTTTGGGGATGTTGGTTTCCCAAGGCACCGTAAGCTCTATCATCACAACGCGCTTTAAAATACGCGAATATAGAAATATGTCTGGTCTGGAGGCCGACGCACAAATATCCTCGGGGATTTTGTATTGTTTCTCATACGTATCCATCATGATAGTCCAATCCGAAGCCGCTTTAAGGATAGAGTAAGGCTTGACGTTTGATTTTATAGCCCTGGTGCCCTCTCTCACAAAACCTATTGATCGCTCGTTTGTGGTTATTTCCCTTTGCGCTCTGGCTACCGAAAGACTAACCGCTTCACGTATGATCTCTAAAACCCTATCGTGACGACGCGAGTATTGACCGCAGTCCAGGAGAACCTTACATCCCACCAGCAAATGCTTGGCAGTTCCAACTGCCTTTCCGCAGATATAGCAAGTTTTTTTCGGTACCTTTACCCCATCTTACTAAATTACTCTGATCTGGGAGAGTCATCTGGAACGCATTGAGATAAAATTTTAGCAAGGCTGGCGACCAGTCATGAATTAGGGTGCGCCATTTTAGTGCTAGTGGAATGCAAAAATCTCCTATGTCTAACCACTCGTTCTGCATTTCTAAACTCATTGCATGGATTTTGTATTTATCGTTCTCGTCTTGCCGAATAAAAGACTTCAATATATCCGTATCTTGGACTTTCCTACTTGATCCTAACCCTACTCTGTTATTTTGCGCTCCGATCATAAATTGTTTATGGAATTGAAGTCGTGACTCTAGCTCTGGGGCATCATTGTCTTTTGGGAGTGATGTAACGACGTCATCATGGGATTTTCCCAGGATATGTCTCTTGGAAACTCTTAGGTGTTTGTAGAGCTCCGATGGTCTTTTTAGATTCATCCCAAAACTATTACGATCCCTGAATAAAGCCGATGAATCAGCCGTTAGCGCGAGCCCGAGCCACAACTTCAACATCTTTATGACGCCTGCATCTAATTTAGATAAAAGGGTTTTACTAAAATCATAGACGAGGAAAGGCCAATTCAAACGTGAAGTTAAGTAATTATCGTAGATCCATGCTTTTTTTACGTTACTGATCTGCTGGCTATCTACCTTGTTAAGATCATTTAAAAAGCTATCTACTATTCCTTCTAAAGATGGAGTACGACCTATATTATCAATCTTACGACCGAGAAACTTGAATGGTGCATCTTCCGTAACCGTAGAAACGCATTGACCGCCTATCGATAGTCCCGGATCGTATGAGGTGTATCTTGTATTCCGCCTACCAAGACACAAACAGTGACATTTACTTGGTTTTGTCCTCAATCCATCCGTCCACTCACAGAATTTATCCACTTCATCCAATAGTACTTGACAGTGTTTGGGGTGACGTGTCAGTATTGCGAGATCGTCAGCGAAGGCTAAAACGGATTCCGTGTATTTATTATTAAACTTAAACCGATAACCCCATTTTTTCTCGTTACAGATTAATTTGTCTACTAAGATGTTAATAACGATATTAAACGTAATTGGAGATAGACAACAACCTTGAAACAGTCCTACATTATAACTCAAACTTTTTGAAGGGCCTTCTTTAGTTATTATAGAAAACTTTAATTTTGAGTAATACGACGCGATCATATCTCTAACTAGGGGTGGAAAGTTGTACCATCTAAGCGCGAATAGCATCAACTCGTGTTGTATCGACCCGAACGCGTTCTCTAAGTCTATCCAACAAACTGTAATTTGCCGCTCGCTTTTTCTAGCATCTTTCAAACTCTCCGACAGCAAGGTGTTGTGTTCTAGGCATCCAGAAATCCCGGGTAGAAACCCTTTCTGGTGATTTGGCCTAAAATACTTGTTGCTGAGCATGAATCGCGTCATTCTCGTTTGTAGGACCGAGAAAAAGATTTTAGAAATTAACATTGCCAGCAAGGTTGCGAACAAGGTTGGCAATGCATCCGCAACAAAATGTTGCGGATGTCCATGGGCGACGGTAACCACCTTCCATCAAGTGGGCCGTCTGCTCGTTTGCCACCTTTCACATAAAAAAAAAAAAAATTCTTCTACAAAGATTTTTCTAGAAAATGTTGATTAGTTATAGAACAAAGAGGAGTTTCTGATTAACTGGTAAGTTCTCAAACGAAAATATATTAAATTAAAATAATTTAAATCTTTTACATTTTTCACCTCTCACACTTATTATTTTTTTATAATTATTTTACCTATAGAGCTATTAATTGCACCTTATCTTGGTTAATGGAGCTGAGTTAATGTAAATACAATTTTAACATATTCAACAAGATAATAAGACAAATTACTCCTTTTTATGTATTCTAAGTAAATGATAGATGTATATAAAAATGACAAAATGTGTAGGTGAAAATTCATAACATTCGTTGTATGCAAACGTCAAATACAGAGCAAGGGATTTGGTGAAAATATATTTCTCGATTGTAGTCTTGGCTTTTTATATTGTTTGAGCGGAATAAGAAAAGTTAATGCCAATTTCTAAATAAGTTTTTGCATATTTTTTCTATATAATTTCTTTAACACTCCCAACCCAAACGACATCATCATCGTATTTTACTTTGCCCTTCAATTTAGAAAATTATGTGTTATGTAGAAAATATAATAATGAGTAAGAAAATAAGTGTGATAAAAAAATATCATAAAATAGAAATCCCTTTTACTTTATTTTCGTCCTGTCAGTTTTAGTACACTAACTGAAGAGAATTTTTGGAAGGAGTGGAAATTTTCTTAAATAATTGCAAAATATTTTTATTTATTTTAACTATTTCCTCATTCCAGTTTTAATTATGTAGCCGAAAGCTTTTACAATATAGAAGTGCATGCCAAAGCAAAATTAATATTGAAATTTAATGCGAAATGTTACAGTTATACTCAAGCTTTAATATTAAGGTACTTACTGATAAATTTTACGAAGCGGATTATGATGAACCAAAATATATTTACTTTTTGTTAGGAAATACTTATATTTTGTTCTTGTACTACTTCTACTTTGTACTAAATGTACTATAATTTCAAGTACATACATAGTTGAATAGAATTGTTAATGTTTGATATTTAATGATAAGAAACATATTGGTAAATGTTTATATATCGACATATTATGTGTGTGTAAAAACATGATAGTGTGAGTAATATAATTTTAATTATTTTAGTGATTTCTCTGCATAGTATGTTTGATAATATTAGGTTACGCATTGCTTCACACAGATTTATAGTGTGTCAAAATCTACGTTCATCAGTTAGCATTTTTCTTGAAAATATTTTCTTGAAAAAATTTTAACATTTTAAAAAAAAAAAAAATGTTAAAATTTTCCAGTAAATATTTTTATGTTCTAATTTCAGCTACGTATTAGACCAAAAACCTCAAAGGTCCAATAGAAGTCTTATTTAAAATAATTTCATTCCTAATAAATAAATTGAAAAATAAACTTTAAGAAAGGCGATTGCCTTATTAACGAGTAGAAAAAAGAAATACCAGAAAAACATTTTTTTTTTTAATAAAATAAAAATTTAACTCTTATTTTGCCTTCAAGTTCGTTCACAGAACTAACTATTTGCTGCGTAATTTGCCTCAGAGAGAAATTCGTAAAGTGTTTATAATAATAGATATATAATTTCATATGAAATACATCTGTTATGTCCTCAGTCTGCGGAAACTTCACATAATTCAGAGAAAACTTGATGTGTAATGACAAGCAAAATTTTTATTTGAATATATAATTAATAATTTCTTTTTAGTTAAATATTGATATTCTTGAACAGTTTTCTTATTGTTTGACATTCATGATATAGCCACAGAACATTAGTAATTTAAATTGATATAAACGAGATTTTTTAATATAACGTCCATAACATGTTATTTTCACACAAACCAACCAAGTCCCTAACACAGTTAATACTAACAATACACGTTCCACCCGATGGCATGGAAAGCCTATAAACCTAACAGGGTTCCAAATCTATTTTGAAAATGTAATTTTCTATTTACTTTTCTGTGTTCTATTCTTCGTAGTGATTTTGTTATAATGGTATCGCTTAAAATATATATAGTTATTCAACTACCAAACTCTTTAATATTTTTAAGCTATAACTATTTTCAATAATAACAGAATTATGCAAAAAAGATATATTATTAAGAAAAAGGTAATTTTATGTTCAATACGAACACATTCTTATGAATGTGATTAATTTAAATATAGGTCCAGGGTGTATTTAAAGATTGTGGCTGTAAGATTTTATATCAAAAACTCACAGTAGAAAACCTATGATGGAACTATCGCAAACCTTTTTACTTCTGTTTTGTGTTTAAACGAATTACGTTCAAAATCAATATGTTCAATATTCAAAATATGTATATCTGTAGGATTAGTTATAACTTAAATTGATAATTAAATAAAGTGTTTTGACTTTATAGCACTTCTCCGTGTATTAAAAGTAAATATCTCAGATACGAGTACTAGAATTATCTTTCTCATCCAAAAATTGGCTTGACAAAGTAAAGGAATTTCAACTAGGAGTAGTGTAATTGACAAAGACTGATGACGTTTATTCATCAAACAAGACCTGTAATAGTAGAATAAAAGCGTTGATACTACGTTGCTCAAATGGATCAGAAAGACGTTGCTAACTTTCCAAAGAAGTTTAAGTAAGAAAATCTCGAAGTCAAGGAACTTTCAACGAAATTAACTATTGACTGTGTAATGTGGTGCCCTGAGAGAGGAATGAAAGCCGAGACTGCTGAATAGATACTCTCTTTATTTCTAATAGATCGTACATTAAATAGGTACAAAATTAGCTTACGTAGTATATAATTGTTAATAAGTATGTTTAGTTACTATAATCTATTCACTACATCTCATCTCCACCGCAATAAAAAAAAATAAATAAACAATACAATTTATTTTATTTTAGCTTATATTACGAATGTTAATATAGTATAATGTCATATTATAATTACTATCTCTACAAAGTTTTGAAGTATCTAGTACATATACTTTTAACAAAATTGTTAGGTAATTGGTTCAAAATACATTTTTGTTCTATTTTTGTGAATAACATAGTTTTTATTATCCTTAATTATTTCTACATTGGGTGAACATTCCCTTATTACTTTATATGGACCTGAATATATGTTTTGGAACTTACTGTCGGTTTCATTTTTTATTAAAATCAAATCATTCTGTTTATAAGTTATAGGGTTTATATTACGATCATACTTATTTTTTCTTTTTAATTTACTAGCTATTAAATTTTCTCTAGCCTCTTTTTGTGACGTTTGTAATCTGAATTTGAGTTCTAAAGGATAATTATCAAAATTGTACAAAGGATCAACTTGTGCTGATTGCAAATTAGATGGTAAAATACATTTCTTACCGAACACCAACTCATAGGGAGTGAACTTAGTCTCCGTATGTACTGCAGTGTTATAGGAAAAGCACCAAAATGGAAGCCACATGCTCCAAGCTTCTGAGTGATTGCCTGTCTGTATTCGCAAATAGTTACCTAGATGTTTGTGAGAATTCTCCAAGGCACCGATGCTTTGATGATGATAAGCGGTAGACTGCAGCTTGTTAATATGCAAAAGTTTACAAACCTCTTTCATTGTGTCCGATAAAAACTCCGTTCCCCTGTCTGTTGCTATCTCCTTCGGGATACCATACCTGAGAATAAAATTGTTTACGAAGTTCCTTGCTACCTCATCTGACCTTTTTGATATTAATGGGTAGGCCTCAATATACTTGCTCAACTCACATTGTATAGTTAAAATGTACATATAATTATTGTAATCTCTGTCTAATGGCCCTACCACATCTAAATATACTTTCTCAAACGCTGAAGTTGCCGTTGAACTTATTGTCACAGGTTCCTTAGTGTAATGTGAAGAATGTTTTTGTTTTTTGACATTTGTCACACCTTTTTATAAATTCTGTAACATCAGCTTCTAATTTTGGCCAGAAATAATATTTCTTTATGTTATTTACCATTCGTCTTATGCCGGCATGGCCACTTGTGGGCAATATATGAAAATCGTTTAAAATTACACACTTATCGTCTTTATCACTTATTCTCTTTGTTCCCCTTAAAATACATATACGTGGTCCGGACCAATTACTTATGTTATTTACTTCATTTACTAACTTTTCCACAAATTTATTATTTTTCTCAGTCTTAATAAAGTATACTTCTTTAATATTTATTTTCCCACAAAATATATCCAGCTCTCTCACAAATTCGCCTGGCGATAGTTGCGATCGAGAAGCTAAATTAATAAAAATAGTATTCATTGAGGGTACGTAACTCAAACATCCCTTCTCATACGTTATCTCTTTCAATTTACGATATCGATTTAATTCATAAGCGCTTATGAAACGTAATTCCGTGAAATATTTCGGTTTGCTATGTATTTCTACAACTTTTGGTTGATCACTCCAATCGTTTTTAGAAATAATAGCATCCCGTTGTTTCTTAGCCATCTGGCCACGCGTCATTACATTCATCACCGTTTGATTCATCTCTTTCAAGTTCTCAGAAGTCAAATGCAAACGTGAAAGTGCGTCAGCGGCAGAATTATTCTTCCCTTTTAAATATTCAAGTACAAAATCATATTCTTCTAACGCTAACCTAAATTTAATTAAACGGCTAGATGGATCTCGCATTCCAAATAAATAGATAAGTGGCTTATGATCAGTCTGAATTTTGAATGTTCTACCATACAAATATGGACGAAAATGCTTCACGGCCCATACAATCGCAAGCAGTTCCTTTTCAATCGTAGGGTACCTTTTTTCTGCTTTGTTAAGACTACGACTGGCAAAGGCTACAGGCCTGCCGTCGCTGTTGCACAAAACTGC